TTTAGAAACTGTCGCCACGCCATGCTGGCAGCTAGTCTTTGTTCCACATTAACGCCGAATCTGCATTAAACAATTAAGAAGCAAAAACACATTTTAAGTACTGCGATATTTTTGTTGTAGTTACCTGTTGCTATTGGGCCCTCTGGTTTCCTGCTTATTATCATCATGATTGCAATTAAAATGTGATGCCAGCATCCGAAGCGAAGAAAAAAATCCGAATTAAAAAAAAGAGAAAAACAAAGATTCACGAAGCAAACTTTTCTAACAGCGAGTGTTACTCTGCTTAACTGTAATGTTTGCTAGCACCTTATCAGAACCAACTCAAGTTATTCTTTCCTTTGGGATTAGCTAGCTGTTTCCTTGGCTCTAACTGTAATTTATCATTGTTTGATTAAACCACAGAGTTTTTTATCTTCATCGTGCTGGCTAACATTAGCTACAGTTGGAAAACCCTAAGCAGGCGGTGGGGGTCGTTTTCCTTCAGCTAGCTAGCCCGCTAGCTCGCACTGCTACAAAAACACTCGTCCGCCGGAGAGCCGCTCCCTCTGGTAAAAATAGTTTGAGTCCAAATATTGCAGGTCGATGGTCTGACCCGTGTGCCCCTCGCCTTTCTCTGTCGGTACAAGGAGTCAATACAGAGCACCATTCCCGTGCTTATTCCCGGTTAGCTGACTTTGTAGTGAGCTAGCTGCGGAGCTACCACTCGGTGAACCCCCACGATTTTGTCCTTCTTCGGGACAGCTTGGGGCCGCTCGTCTTCTAGGGATGGCTAGCCAGAGTAGGCTAGCTGTACTCTAAGCCCCATGTTAACCGCAAACACACCCGGAGCATCACCTTCGCAGAATCACCTGTACTCAGTGCAATAAAGCGGCGATGCTTAATCCTTCTGCTCCGCGGTAGGAGTATCTTATTCGACGCAGCTGTGTGTTGTTGCTAAGGGCGTCTTCAGTGCGCCCACAGTCAGCAGGCAGACAGAGGGAGGAGCGGGGCGGGGCTTGGTGAGCCCCACAGCCGGCAGGAGGGCGCCCCGCAGCGGACTCCTGGTGCTCTTCACACCGCCCAATGCGAGTGTGTTTCAGAAATACTGTGTTACTGTACATTTGCTCTTTTAAAATACACTCGGTGGTACAAACATGGGCGGTTCTGGAGTGGGGAAGAATAGGACAAATGTGTCTATGTTATACCATTTGGGATAGTGATGCACTGATGGTTGTGCTCTGTAACTTGAGCTAAGAAGTGTTTGTTTTTTTAAAATTGTAATTTAATAAAAAATGAAACCAAGTTATTACCACAAATGCTGTAACTGAAAACAATACCAATCATGGGTTTTTGATGTGCACTTTCATTTCTAAGCTGAACTATAAATGTCTATTTCGTCCCACATTAACTATGCCTCTCATAAAATAACCGGCCCCAGCATTGCACACCACCCCCCAGTAAAAATTTACCTAGAACTGCAACCGAGAACAATGGGTTAATTAGTAGTTATTCAAGTCAAAACATCAATACATTAATAAAACATCTTTAACGTTGATAAATGTATAGTGAAAAATCCAGAATAAAGGATAAAGTCATAAATCAGTTATAAATCTTAAAAAGTCATTATTATTTATAAACATATTCGAAGAAGTGTGTGTAAACCTTAGTCATTTGTTTAGACACTAATTTTGGTCCAACCTGAATATCACTTTCACAAAAGGTCAAAGGTCAAATAATGCATGAAAGAGAAACCTAAAAACACGAATAGAATATAAAAGGTTGTGCTTGATAATGGCTAATAACTGCTTTTTAAACCATTAGCAAATATTTAGTAAACCTATGAATTAACCCTCTACAAAGTATGAATTAAAATGTACCAGACGTTTTTACAGATGCATGTTTGACAGTCAGGGGCGAGTAGAGTAGAGTAGAGTTGCTCTTTTCATCAATCTTCTATCAAAAGAAAAGTAGGTTCTGGAACTTATGACATTAGGGAAGTGACTGACGCTCTATGGAGTCTCGGTCAGACAACATAGGGAATTGTAAGACGTCAGCTTGGCCACTGTGATGGGTATTTTATTATCCAAATAACATGTTGATAATCAATAAACAGATGCATTGCATTGTCAAACCAGCAGTTGCAGACCAAGGGCTCTGAAGACCTTTCCACAGTGCATCTGGCCATGGAAAGCTGAACCATGGACTGAAACTGGAGAAGTCATGGAGATCCATACAGAGCTCGATATAGCAAGAGGCAGGGCAGAGGACAGACGGAGTGAGACTGGGCCGGCATGAGAAGGGGAACAGGCTAAATTCAGACAGTGATACATGCTTGGCAGAGGGTGATGCTAATCTTAGCTCTTTCTCAGAGGTGAGAAGAGGGGTCTGTCTATATTTGCTGCCATAAATAAGCATACTGACACAGTTTTAGGTGGCCCTCTGGGCAGCAGCCAACCCTTAAGGCCAGCTTGGCCATGCTGATTATTCTTGGACGGTGGTGTATAAGAGAGTAGGGTGACAATGCCTATAAATTGATCTGCTTATTGCACTTTCCTCTTAAAGGATTCAAGGTGTAAGTTTGTAAATTAAGAGGCACTCTAATCACAGCTGGTGAATTTACAACCCCAGCAAGAGATGGGACCAGGTGCAAAGCTACCTATAGGTCCTTGTGGGGGTTGTGGGTGGCTGTATTTGGTCTCAGAGCCTGTGACAGACACTGACACCTGCAGGTTTATTGGTCTAACACCTTTGGAATGCCCTTTGAATGAATACAGACCATATCAGGGAAAGTATTGTGTTAAAGTGTCACTAGAACACCTGAAGGTTTTATCATATCAAGCATATCATAACACATGCAAACCAGATTACACTTTATACACGCTGACAGTTTACATTTTGCATGTTAAGATAGTACCTGCAGTGTAGAGGAGGTACTGCCACCTGTTGGTGATTACAACGCAATACAGCTGGCTTTGGGTGAAGAAAAATAGATGAAAACTTTAAGCTCAGCACTTTCTACTTGGGGCATGTCTGGACATCACATTTGGCTAAAAGAGATTAACCACCTCACAATGCATTTAGTGTCTCTCTTATGAGATGTGAAATCAATCAGTATATACAATCCTCAGGCACTTATTTATTAAATATGCTGTCTACAATATGAACATGATATGCACATGATTTAAGAAAAAACATCAAATTCTTGATCCCTTTTCTAGAACTTTCACTCCATTGGTTGGTCGGAATTCAGTTATATGTATCTCATTGAAACAGATCAGCTTGAAGAAGGGGACAAAGTGGGAGTTCTCTTTGTTTTTGTTGTAACCCAACCCTGTACTTAAGAACTATGAGAAACGCATTTGCAATTCAAGTAACGTTGTAACTCTCCTGTATTCATTCTAGAATTACACCCTGTAGTTTAACACTTTTCAAAATGTTTTTACGTGATGTGATAAAGGTATAAATGATTAGATTTTTCTTCAAGTAAGGGTTGAACAAACGGAAGCCAGAGAAATTAGGATATGAGAACATTTCAATAAAGGGATGACCTTTTTATTTCATTGTGATATTCTGTACAGTTCTACTGCTATATTTAAACACACTTCTTCAAATAAAACAAAAATAAATTGCAAAAAAAGCATTAAGTCTCAACATCCCTTGACACAATATCTTATGGATGAGGTGGACCATGAAATAAATAACTCGCGCCACACAGAGGGTTTTGGTTGGAAAAACAAATGTGTTAAGGGAAGGGAAAGAAAATAAATGTGATACACCACCCAAGAAACAGATTTGCACACATGCAAAAGCACCCACACAAACACTCAGGCACCTGTGTGCTGAAACACACCTTACATAGATCCACAGGGGGCACGTGAAACAAAAGGCACTGCCAGCAGGAACAGCTTGGGCTTTGGGTGGTGGCGTTAAAAAAGAAAAAAGACAGGTCTACTGAGAAACATGTGCTTATGGACAACGGGCCTCATTTATTAATGATTTTATGGTATTAAATAACAAAAATGTTCGTCTTGGAAATGTTTATAGGAAATAAGCTTTGGTTTAATGTATTCAATTTATGATACATGCACACCACATATTTGTATAATTTTTACATCACATGTGCACTTGATAAGTGAGGCCCAACGAGGAAGCTATGGTGACACAAAGACACTCATTATAACACACACACACACACACACACACACACACACACACACACACACACACACACACACACACACACACACACACACACACACACACACACACACACACCAGTAGGAATGATACCAAAAGAATATCAATATTCACCGTAATAACAACAAAGTTAAAACTTGTCACTCTTTTTCCAGTGTCTACATTATACATATGCATTGCAAACACGTCATTGGTACATCATAGCCTTTATCTTGAACTCTACTTATTTTGTGTTTCCTTTTTTGAGTAGATGTTAGGGGGGTAAAAAGAAAAGAGAAGCAGAAATGCATGCCAAGCCCTAGAGTCATGAGCTCTTCAGAGACTGCATCTAAATGTGCAAAAACAGAAGCTGGTTTAATCTTTTTACATACACCACCTTTAAATTAAATACAATTCTGAATGTCTCTCTTCCCTTTAACATCCTCTCGATAGATATCTCCTTCTAAACTTTGGTGTAAAATAAATCCTCTCTCATTCAAATGTAAAATCTGTAACGGTTTGTGGATTTCCTCGCTCAGCGTTCATGCAGGGGTCAGGATTTAGAAAGGGAAAATGATATCACAGTTATCATCTGCGAAGAGTTGGGGCTTGTGCGTGAGCAGGGGATTGCTAACTAGGTTGGATTAATTTCTGATTCTGTTTAAGAAGTACAAATAAACTGATCAAAGATCATTTTAATAATGAGATTTGGACCAAGTGGGATAAAGTGTGATGTTATAGGGTTGAATTCTGTTTCTTTCCGTCTTAAGGTTTTCTCTTTGCTCAACGCATGCTCCCTGAGAAAAATCAAAGAAGGATCTCGCCTTCTTATAACTTTCTATTCCTTCTTGTTCTCGCATTCAAACTCTTATACCAAACAACTCCCTCACACGTCTTGTACTCCAGCACAAAAATATACACCTGATGATAACCCTATACATCAATTCCAATTAAATAAAAAGAAGACACAGTATGATTGTCCTTCCATCAAAAGAAACATGCCTTCTGTGTGCAGGGGGATGAGCTGAGAGAGACTCATGCATAAGTAACACTTGCAGTAGCAGCAGCAGCAGCAGCAGCAGCGGAACAAGAGGGAACTTTTTAAAACACCACTGATTCATAATACGCCCCAAATGAGGTCTCAAGCTAGAGTTTTAGATGTTGAGTTGATGGGATCTTTCTGTATGTGTGTGTCCTTGGCAACACTGCTTGTCCAATCAGAAAATGGACCACACAACCTGTTGCCTTGCACTTTGCTTTACACCCATGAGGTTCTCCTCAGGGAGGGGATGTGTGGGTGGTGGGGGGGCTTGAATGCGTCCTGAGAAAGGGTATGCATCAGTTTGTGTATGTACTGTATGTTTGGGTGCATGGGTTGGAGGGTGAGGACAAGTTCAGCTCTGGCTCCAGTCTGGGAATAGATCAGGGGTCTTGAGGGGGGGGGGTCAGTCTCTCCCTGGGTTGAGGTCGTAAGGTAGCAGGTGAAGGGGTCAGGGGTCATGTTGTTGTAGGGCACGTTGTAGTTTCTGACGGTAAGCGGTGTATTTTTGCTCCACTGCCCGGACGCGCTCCGCCTCCTCGTTCCCCAGGATCACCAGGAAGTTTTGAAGCTCAGGGACAGAGAACGCATACCACTGTAGGAGAATAACAGAAACAGATTAATACACCATGGCAGCACGTTTTTATTCATAGCCTTCTATGAATCTCAATCAAAAAGTAAAATGTATTCCCTCTATAATTCCCCGCAATGTTACAAAATAAAACAATTGTGAGAAGCAATACAAAGCGCAGAAGTGTCTGCCTCGAGACCAAGAGTGTGTGTATGTACCACTTATTTGGAGCAGTGAAATAAATGTATTATTTTGAGGATCATAATTGAACAAAAGGGAAGTATTCAGCCCTTAAGGGTCCATTTATTTTCTTGTATATTTGTGTAGGTATGTTCAGATGTATGTGTACTGTGTGTGTCCCACTTATGTTATCTTGTGTGTGTGTGTTTTTTCTCACCTCCACCTCTCCAGTCTCATTTTCTTTAAGGACAAAGCTGAGGTGCTCTGGGTCGGGTCCTGTTATCAGCCTCAGGAGAAGAGGACGCTCACACAGAGGAAGCTTCTGGAGCAGATCTGAACGGGACAGAAAAATATAATTTATTGTTGTCATTTACACGTGTTTCCTGCAAATGAGAAATTGAAGCTTTGTATACGAACAATGTAATTCTTACGAAGCTCTTTTTATGTTTGTACAAAAATGACACTTCCGATCATGGACCCCTTTTACTTGTATATGTGTCATATTTCCCCTTTTTTATTCTAAAATATCAAATGTGTATGACATAGTATGGACCTTTTGCTCCAAGTATTATAATTCTTTAAAATGTTCTTATGTGAAGTGTTTTTCCAGATATGTATGTATCCATATTTTTGCACATTATGATTGTATTATGCCTAATAATGGTTAAATAGTGTTAAATGCATTAACTGTCTTCAAGGCTAAAGGTACTCTATTTACAAACACATTTCATTCAGAGGGTACAGTATGTTTGAAATATTACATTTACAGAAAAAGTAAAGGGATATGGCGCCACCTTGTGTAATGTTAATATTCCGATTTTTGATCATTACCAGTAAATTAAAGTTGTTTAACTTTTCACCCAAAATGAAACTATATTGATTGAATTATAATTGGATCCAAGTGTAATTCCTGTGATATTTTTACATCTTCCGCCCACTGAATAAAGAATGATGAACCGCTCTCGGAAAAGAACAGAGCCATAACAAACAGCTCCATTCACAGAGATTCAATCCCCATCACTGTAATGAGTTAGCATCCACCAGTGTTCTCTCCTCACCCTGTCCGTCGCGGTGCGTCTGCCTGTACAGTGCAAACTTGCGGGGATTATCCAGCACCATGAACTTCTTCAGCAGGCCCTGGATGACCTCGCTGACGGTGGTCAGAGAGCGGATGTGGATCTGCTTCACACAGTCGCTCGGTAGGTAGAAGGATGTTCTCTTTTCGCTCTGCCCACAGTCCGACACATCCTGGCCCTCTGACGGTTGAGTGCGGCCCCCCGCCTGTCTGGACGCCCCCTCCGAGTCCCCCGCCTCTACAGCGGGGACTGTGACCGGTCGACTGAGCCTCAGTTTGACCTTAATGAAGCCTGTGTAGGATCCGTCTGAAGCCTGCAACGCACAGAGAGGAAGAGGAAGACATGAGAGAGTGGAGGCACAATATAGTGTTGAAATGTGCACTGATAATCAAGACTGGAAACAATTGTATGTGGTTCTTTTAAACATTTTGGGAAATACAGTTATTCGTTTTTTTAAGGTCTAAACTGATCTCATGCCTGTACTAATTTAACATACAGACTGGGCTGGAGGAAGAAAGCTAATCTGGATCCGTTTAATCCAACACATTTTACAAATATGATATATGGTGTTGACTCATGAGTTTTGAGGGGCTGGATTAAGCACGAGTCTTCTCCTCTCACTCTTGGCAAATAAGCAAATATACCATACACTATGTATGAAGACAACGTGACATCACCTGTTGGTTTGAGGAATATAGTTTTGAAGCATTGGGTTTGGTATTTTGGCCCTTGGTTATTTGGAAACAGGTGTGACACTAGAAGGTGGAGCTAAATACACCAAAGCTTAACATTATTAGGCCAATAAAACAATACAATAATCATCTTTTGTGAACTGAAATCAATATGTCATTGCTGGGCCCTGTCAATCACAAGTTATCCCTGCTTTTTTAGTGTATTTTAATCAAAATGGGCCAACAATTTACAAAATGGACACCATGCTGTAGTAAAGAAGACTCAATACTAGTGATTAACAACATAAAGTTACGTTCACAATGTTTATAGAGTTAATAAATCAAGTAAAAGCTTTATTTTCTCATAGAATTCACACAGCATTTAGATGTATCTCCTCTTGTGTTTAAAAGTTTCCCCTACGCTTGAATAACCTTATGGCCCAGCTCAGTTTCCTGTTTCTATTCATCAGATGAAAGAGAGGAAGTTATAATGTAGTTTCATTGTTAGTTTCATTGTTAGTTTGACCTTATGCAGTACGCTTCATTCACCATCTACAACAAGTGCTGAGAACTTACCAGATTCATGCCATTTTCAGAGACTTGAGCATTATACTCCTCTATCCTTTTCGACACCTCCTCTTCTGATAGGTCCTTTGTTCCTCTCGTCTCTTCCTCCTTTGCTTCCTTCTGCTGTGAGGCAAAGAGCGAATGGTCAATATACAAATATTGGTTCGTTCTTATTTCTTTAAACCAGCAGATGGTGCTGCTTCAATAACAAGTCTATGAACACATTCTCCATCTAGCCTTGCTCAAGTTGATGCATACATATCGGAAAACACCAGAATCAAGAGGAACCATCCCATCCTACAAGCCTTCCAGGCAGAAAAGGTGTCATATGTTGTTGAAAAAACAACATCTAGCCCTGTTCCTGCACTACTTGTGGGAAAACACCTCCTTCTCATGTCCTCCATCTTTATCAGCTGCTTCTGTGACTGACGCTGATGGGTGACACTATCTCTTCCTCCTCAGTGTGGTTGCACAACTCTGCAGCTCTACATGGGGACAGGAAATGTGAATGGAGCACATCTCGCATTCAGCATCACAGCAGGAGAATATTGAGAGCACAGCATCCCCCTTACTCATTTCCCTGTGACTAGGAATTAAAAAAGGAGAGCCAAAGACAGAGAGGGAGGGAGGGAGGGAGGGAGGGAGGGAAGAAGCTATGAAAGATGGGAGGCAGAGAAAGAAAGGGGTGAGGACTGATGAAAGAGCGGCTACTGAGCCAGCCTTAGCAACACAGAGTTTGACTGGGTTATTTATAGTACAGAGGGATGCATCCTCTCTATCTCATAATTGTACTTTTTTTTCATTCTCTTGTACGTTTGCATTTTCTGGGCCAGAGAGAGTGAGGGACAGAGTGTGTTTGAGAGAGAGAGTGCAGGGCAGCAATCTGTAGGGGAGTCCTCGGGTTTTGATGAAGTCACTGTTTCCTTCAACACAGATACAGTGTGTAAGTGCACGAGTGTGTCTCTGTGAGTGCACACCTTGTGGTAATAAATAACACACAAACAACACGAGGGTAGCTGAGCTCATCCTTGCAGACATTCAGCATGAGAGGGGAAGAAAATGTAACAGTTAAAATGTCAAGGCTGACGACTGGAGATAGACAGACAGCACTGTGTGTGTGTGTGTGTGTGTGTGTGTGTGTGTGTGTGTGTGTGTGTGTGTGTGTGTGTGTGTGTGTGTGTGTGTGTGTGTGTGTGTGTGTGTGTGTGTGTGTGTGTGTGTGTGTGTGTGTGTGTGTGTGTGTGTGTGTGTGTGTGTGTGTGTGTGTGTGTGTGTGTGTGTGTGTGTGTGTGTGTGTGTGTGTGTGTGTGTGTGTGTGTGTGTGTGTGTCATGTGTAAATAAGGTCAGTTTGAAAGAAAAGTAGCAAAAAATCCT